TGATGTTGCACGTTGTTATCGTTCTCCATATAGAACAAATGGTACTTTATCGATTTTAAATCAAACAGTTGATGATTTAATTCAAATACATGACTTTATTGATTCAAAATGAAAAGGATGGCTTGAACAATTTTAAAAAATTATCGAACAAGCTAGAGATAAACAAGTATTTGCTTATTTATTGATTCATTTTTAATATAAGTCAACTGTTCGTCAAACAATGACTGAACTAAGAGATAATTATGAAAAAGCTCAACGAAAATTAGAAACAGCTGATGCCAATTTAAAAAAAAATGTTTTAATGATTCTTTGATTTGTCCTACTTCTCATTTCAAAATATAATGTGCCCCATTGTTTTTTTTTGAATAACTTTTGATAGGAACATCATAGAGATCTTCGGCTTTCACCATTCAAGAGAGATGATCCGAAACCTTCCAAAATTCTCGCCAAGAACTGATCCAATTAGCTAATGAAATTTTGATATATTTCGATTGCTTTGGATCTTCTCTTTTAAATGGTAAAAACCGCAGGTCTCTGTAATATTCCTATCAAAAGTTATTTAAAAAACAACGGAGCACAATATATTTTGAAATGGATAGTAGTTATTATCGTTAAGAAAAGAAGTCAAAAATACTGCATTTCTAAACGTTTTGCTTTCACTTTACTTATTGCAGATAATAAGATCATCTTTCTTATCGTTCAATACGGGTAAGGTAAATGGATATAGTAAAAAATAACTTGTGTTGCTTCATTTTTTTTTGACGAATTTTCTCTTATTTTTTGTTCCTAATACAAACAATTGAATGTCAATTATTATTAGTATAGAATGAGTTTTACTTATTTAGAACTCGACAACAAGATTTCTATGATCAATCATTCATCATCATACAATGATTCACATTATTGGCATGGAAATAATTCAAATTCATATGATTTTTATGGTTCAACATTCATCTCATACACTTTTACAACAAAATGGTTTTATTCAACAAGTTTATCTTAAATATAAACAAGAATGTCTTGATGGTAAAAAAAAACGTTGATTGTAGAGAAAAAAAAGATTATTAGGTCAGTACATATTTACAATATTTCGAGAGAAACAAGCTACTGGTAAAAAAAGATTGAAATTATGTTGCATTGAACGTATAAAAAACGAGTTTTTTAATGACTAAAGAGCAGTCAACATATCTAAAAACAACAGCGAAAATTACTCTCCGGTGAAAATCAGAGTCTAAAAAGACTTATATTCTTATTTAAATAACTAATAGAGAATATGTCTGTTGCTATAATTTTAAAAAAAAAACAAAGATTTTACTCTTTTATGGAGTTTTTTTAATAAATACTATCATTCTTATCTGCATGATAAATTTGAAAAGCAATAAAATAATCGTCAATGATTAAAAACACTAAATTTCACTAATCGCCAAACTTTATTATTTTATAGAAAATATTTATAATCTAAAATTATGTTGATTTACAAATAAAATACATTTTGTTTTCTGTAATGATCTAATTTCTAGAACGTGTTAAACTTGGTCCTGGTCAATCAATGGAAATGAATACACTCTATCGTTTTTAGTCATTTTTCTTATGTGAAAATTTTAATCGTCATATGTACAATGAATTTAAACAATATGCTGTTCAAGATACTAAAACTGATCATCGGCATATAAATGAATTGTTTTTATGAAAAATAATAAGAAAAAAACTGAATATTATTATTTACGTATAGATATGGTGTTGAATGTTTATTTCGATTTTATACATATAATCTAGAAAAACATTTTCGTCAACATGTATTTGAAGATTTTCAACAAGAAACTCTTTGTAATCATGAAGCTGGTAATAAAATAGATTACACAAAAAAAAAGAAAAGTGTCAATAACAAAAATAATTTTCCTATTTAGGTCAATTATATGGTTTAGAAAAATTCTGGACATTTTTAAAATATTCTCGAGAAAAACCAAACATCAATTCAAAACTTGAAGAAATTTTAAAAAACTATAGAAATCTTGAAGATTTTCGTGTTGATCGTGCATCATTTCCACAACAATTTTTTCCAACAAAATCAAATTATAGTAATTGAAAAACATTTTTTTTTCCTATGATATAAAATAATTTCTTTATAGACTGTTCCAGCATTCGAAGCAATTGCTGCTGCAGTAGCAAAGAACAGTGATACATCAAATTCATTAAAACCCAATGGTGAACAATATCTGAACGGTGCTCATATTTTTTCAAGTGGATTTCGATTTATATATAAGTATGCATGTATTTTTTTTTGCTTTCAAAGTTTATTGTTATTTAATCATTTTCTATGTATTTTATTACATTGGTTTGTTATTGTAGTAGATAGATAGATTAAATAGTGATGCATTTTCTTTTTCTATCGATAGAGATATGAAGAATTTTCATGTGGTTTCGTTTTGTTTCTGGAGCTATTTGCTAATAAATTCATCTCGTTTATTTAATAATATTGGTAAGATATTGAGATAATATTTTATTTCGATAGAAGAATTTGGTGTTTTAGGAAGAATTGATATTGGTTTAGGTATTGGTGGTGGTGTGATTAATTCTATGCTTTATAATGGTAAGTAATGAAAAAATTAAAAAAACCTTGTTTTCTTTAAATTTAAACATATTCTAGTTGATGATGGTCATCAAGATGCTATTTTTGATCATTTTCAAAGTGTTAAACTAGATGTTATTGAAGAAGGAACTCATTTTATGATTTCATGGCTTCATAGACCAATTATATTTGATATTCGTACACGACCACGATCTGTTCCATCAATAACAGAAATAAAAGATATAAAAGCTAGAAGAGAACAGTCAACTTCAGGAGAGAGGTGAACATGAGGAAAATGTAAGCTCGCGAAAAAAGGAAGGTAAATACGATGTCTATTAAAACATCAATGAATGTATATGGCTGAGGTATCTTAAAAAATTTTGCGGTCATTGATGGCGACTCAACTAATCGGTTTACACCTCTACACTCTCATCATTCACCAATCTTAGGATACTTCATAAAACTTAAAACCGGAAGTCTCCGTTATTTTTTCTTCGTATACATGAAATATGCATAAATTACATTTTATTATTTTTATTTTAGATTTACAAACAATTAATATAACATTACGTATTCTTTATCGACCAAGAGCTGAACTTTTACCAAAAATTTTTTGCAAATTTGGGTTTAGATTATGAAGAACATGTTTTACCATCGATTATTAATGAAGTTTTAAAATCTGTTGTACTAAGTCTCAATTTGATGCTATTGAATTGATTACACAACGCACACTTATTTCGCAACGTAATAGTGAATTATTAACAGAACGTGCTGCTCAATTTGGTTTATTACTTGATGATATTTCAATTATAAGATACGATAAAAAAGAGTCTCGAGTTGATTATATTGTTTTTTTTCTTTAAATTAGACACATTTAAGTTTTAGACCTGAATTCACAAGTGCTGTTGAATTAAAACAAGTTGCATAACAAGATGTTGGAAAACAACGGTTTTTAGTTGAAAAAGTAAATCGATAAGAATAAAATTTGTATGAGTTTGTTTTTTTTTTGATAAAAAAAACAGACTGAACAAAGTCGTCAAGAAAATGTTATTGCAGCAGAAGGTGATACTCGTGCAGCTGATTTGATTGGCAACGTTTTAGATGAAGCTGGTGATGGTAAATTTTCGAATATCTTTTATTATCCTGTCTAACTTTGTTTTAATATTCATGTTAGATTTGATCGAACTTCGACGAATTGAAGCCACTGAAGATATTGCAAATCAATTATCAAAATCAAGAAATAGCGTCTATTTACCACATGGTCCTCAAATATTACTTAACATTACTGGTGCTATGCAATAAAAATATTGTTCTTTGTTTTCATAGTAAACTAACGAGATTGATTTAGGAAAATAAAAAGGACATATAAGAGTTTTTTTTGTATATATGTGTGTGTTTATAAACTATTGAGAATACTAAAGCATTGTATTGTCCTGTTTTTTGTTCGATTAAAGAAAAAGAAGATGAAATTAACAATTCTCTGGATGATATTAAAGATTCGAGTACGATTGAAATGATGAATTTCGATAATCTCTTTCGATGTTTTATATTAACTCAATCATTTGTACGTGGTTGGGGAAATACGTTTCATTTACAAGACATTTTTACCTATCGACGTGAAAAAATTGGTGTAAGAGATGAGTGTTTAGAACTTGTACCAGCTGAAAATGTACAGGAAAATACTGTTGAAATAATGAAACAAGAAACAAAAAGATAATTAAAATTATATAAATGCTCGATTTGGTTCATCACTTGCCAATTATTTATCACATTTGGTAAGTAATTAAAGTTATTTTAATCATTTAATTAATATTATCTTTTTTCTTTTGTTGTATTTATTTAAATAGATTTCATCTCAAGTAGCTACAGCTCATTTTCAACTTGTTTTATCACGTGATCATCGTTTTGGTATTGATTCAATTCCAATAGGAATTTGTTATGCTGTACTACATCGGTAATCATATTATATTACCATAAAATATAAAAGTTAGCTGTAACATCATATGAATATCGTACGACTTACAAATAAAACATTATAGTAGGATCAAAGCAACTTTCTATTCAAATTTTATAACAATTTGTTAAGAAACTGTGTTTTTCTACGATAGGACATAAAGTGTTCTTCTAATGTACATTCTCGCTTAGTTAGTAACGTTAAAGATAATTGCTAAAAAGAAGAGAAACGATACATGCTTAGTAGTTTAAAAAATATACTTTATTGATGTTGATTCAGCGAAAGACGAAGACGAAGACGCAACAAATAAACTATTTTGAATTCATTCGAAATAAATAGAAGTGTCAAGCTTGAAACTTGAATTCAATTGAGTCTTCAAGTTTCAAGTTTGATATAGTATATGGAATAATGAGGGTAGAAAAAATGCTCTCATACATTAATAAAATATTGAAACTCGATATTTTTTTCCATTGTAAAGCTGAATTTTCATTTAATTATTCAAGAAAGACTATACACACGCTGAACTATACTTTATTCTTGTTTTGTAGTTTTTGTTGCAAGAAATGCAGAATACACAACAGAAAATTGATTATGTTTCTTTTTTGTGATTATTTT